TTTTTTTTTTTTTTCAAAAACCTCTATTTTAACTCAATAAAAACAAAGAGGTAAAACATTCGCAAAAATGACTTTTAAAATAGAAATTAAATTTTTCAGTTTTTTTTGATTATCATTAAGAAGCTAATTCCTATACAATGTCTTATAAAAGACAGAACAACAAAAAGCTATACTACGTAGCATGAAAATACAGTAACTTAGCAAAAGAAAATACAGCACGATAGTAAATTATGACCTGTTAAGTCGTTCTTCTCAAATTGTTTTTCCGACAATGTTTCAGGAAGTTCATGTGATGACTCCTTACATTCATTGACTCCATCACCCTTTACTTCTGATGTTTCCCATTTCTTATTGCACGCAATACACTCCCGCTTAGACTGTATTCTTTCTTCTTTATACTTAGCTAGCCAAGCGCAAGTTGAAGACAGCAAGGCCAATGTTTTGCCTAAAATTGCTTGCCAGTAAATTCTGCTCAACTGTTTCTTTTTTTATATTCTTATGTAATAAAATTATAGAGATTAAGAAGATAGTTCTCTGCAAAGTATTAAAGAGTAGACGTTAAGAATACTTGACTAAAGTACGAACTGCTTCACTTAAGCACATTAAAATTACCTAAACCATCTCCGTTTAAATTAATTACATATCCTACATCCCTCTCCTTCTGCATAAAGCTATGAAACCTTTAAAAACCTCATAAACTACTAATAAAGAATGCAAAGGAATAAATAACAAAGACTCTAATATGCTAACCACTTCCTGTAGGACTTTCAGTGAGAGCACTTAGGCGATTTTTCAGACTCGTAAGAACCTTTGCAATCATGGTTTTCTGAGTTCTATACAGTTCCACATTTGCTGGTAGCTTAACATCATAACCACAAATCATTATGCTAGAGTAACTGGGAAATTCTGTCTTCGAAAACAAAGAATAAAGTTGAGACGATCCTTAAACAACAGTGCTGCTTAGAAACTAAAGTTATGACTGAGGAAAGGTTTGAAAAGCATGAATAAAATGCTTTATTAACCTTGCAGTGTCGGCCGGTTTTTTTGAAAAAAGCTTCGTTTCCGTCGTTTTTCCATTTCCCTGCGTCTTTTTTCGAAGTAAACAAGCACAAAAATTCTAAGGTAAAATTCAGTTAAAAAAAATGAATTGTTTTGATGCAAAATTTGTATGAGCTGTCACCAAAATCTCCAATAACTTTGGTTAAGTAAATGTCTAGAAAGTTTGCTAGCAAAGTCTAAAAGGAAAAGCCGTCCAGTGCGACAGTTTCAAAATTTTCCATTTTAACTACAAAATCAATTTTCAGGGCTTTCAGTACTGCCATAATTATCGTATACATGACAGGCAAAAGCAAAAAAAAATTTACAGTTTTCATTTCCATTTTTATTATTACTACTTTTGCTATTCTGACAACGCAAATGGCGAGATCAACAACTGCGTTCTCGGTTTTTTTTCCCAAAAATCACATGCAACAACGATTCGGCATACAAAGCTTCCAAAATGCTTCCATCGTGAGCCACTGATGCACAAACCGTTGATGTATATCAAAAGAATGGAAAATTAATTGCACATATCTAGCCATATTTGCTCGGTTAAAAGCGCAATCATTTAGAGCCAATATTTCATTGCGTTCCAAACACCCACAAAACAGCGACACTTTTAGTAAACTCGCCTCTCCGTTAAAACTCACTAAAAAAAAGGAACAAAAGCAAAAGAAAAAAAAAAAAAAAAACTGAAGAAAAAAACAAAAGGAAAGAAGAGAACCCGTTTTTACTTTTAATTCTTTTTTTCAGAAACTTTAGACTGCTGACTTCGTTTATGCTTCAATCTTAATACTCTTCTTTTAAGCAGTTAAAAGTGTTTACTGTAATTCAAATCACAGACAAACGGTAAGCGGTTGACAAGCTTTAACCAATACTTTCAACTAAATGAACATCAATGACAAGTGAAAGGCTGTTTATAAATGTGAAATTTTTTTAATATTAAAAAATGGCAACATTCCCACACTTTTCGTTGCAAGACCAGGCTGACGTTGACTTAACTGGGTGGAGCGTTTTATAAGTGGTGCAGCCAATCGATGTCACTATACAAAAAGGCAACGTTTCTTGTTTCTCTGATACAATGCCTGTAGTTGTTATATTGCTCGTCTCAAATGCTATTTGCTTATTTTCTGCAGCTGTCCGGAAAGCAGTTCTCTTCATGCGTCAAAATTCAGTTGTTTAAGTTTACGGCTTCAACTGTGAAACTTTTGCTAGATATGGCATTAAAACGGTTAACTAGTTGAGCGAAAGGCTCATTTTTCTTCCTATACGAGTGGAAAAAGAAATGGAATATCTGGCTATAGATAACAAATTTTCTCTTCTTTATTTTTTCTATGATTATTGGTGTTTTTAAAGTTTGTGGTAGAACTGGCGTAAAACCGTTGAACAGAAGATCGTTTTTGTTTTTCTGACAAACAAATTCTCACTGGATAAGTTCAAGTTTTTA